TATATGTATCTCTGCCTTATTAAACTAGCACGGACATAATTAGCATATAGAAAATAATTATTTGCTGTGGATAATAATTATTTAAATTTATACAGCAACAAATTCTTTCAACATTACCGGTATTGTAAGACCTGACAACACTTAAAAAAAGAAGAATTAGCAATGAAATAATTCCTGGCCATTAGCAGAGCCTGGTTCATACATGTACATGCAACTGATGTACAAAGTGCAAATTCAAGCGTACACATATGAACATGAATTTTCTATCATCATGGTTCAAAAATTTTATTTTAACTGCTAGTTAGTTCAGATGAAAGCCTAGGGAATGGATTTTGTTTCTTTATTTTTCATTTTGTAACATGCTTGGTATTTGTTTACAATATTGTACCTGCTTCACATACGAAAATTGCAAATAATTATGCAAATGCAATACTTGCAAGCACACCCAAGGAAGTGAAGCACGAACTGTCTACCAACAATGAAAGAAACATCAGAATATTTACCCGTATACCCCAGTTTGTTGGGGTTTTTTGCAAGCTTCCATTGGCACAATTATTTCTGTTGGTGTTGAAACAAATTTGAACCAGGGTCAATTAGAAAGATTTTTTCTGTCTGCAGATGTGGTTATGCACCAGACTGTCCTGACAGCTGTGGTTCAACACCTCTCATGGATGCACTGCGCACAGGACACGTGCTGGTTGCAGAGACTCTTATCAAGGAACACAAGGTACAACAGTCTGAGAGCAATATGAAGTATTGTTTAACTAAGGTGGCCAATGTTTGCTGTTGATATTACAAATGGTATGCTTAAGTACACAGCTCTGTCAATACTAATCTCAACCAGACAACCATTTTGACTTCATCTGAACATCTTCAATAATTGAAGATGTTCAATGCCCAGACAAGTGACTAGAGCGACAATTATTGTCGCTCTAGTCACTTGTCTGGGCATTGTTTTAAGTGAACCTTGCTTAGGATCTGACTGTTATTGATTTAAACTCAAGCTAACTGCACTTATGTACAGCATCTTCCAAACTTTAGCAGGACAGTTTACACCTTTTGCTGTTCATTTACAGAAAATAAACATTCATTTGTGTCCAAATTTCTTTCATTATGGTCATTAAACTCTCATTAACACCAATATGACCTTCATTTGCGCGTAGGGAACGTTCAAGAAAAACATTTACATATGCATTAATATTCAAAATCATCAAAAGAAAAACAATACCTTCA